ATCAGTCCAGCTGACGGTGCCCATGGACCAGTAGGAGTAAGTTTTCGTGATTCCTTTTAAATTTATGCTGTTGAAAACTCTCCCTTAGGGAGGACAAGAATTCGGAGGTTCGGAATGCTGTCCGTGTCAAACTGGTCCACCGGGACCTCCTGGAGATGATGGAGATGACGGAGAGGATGGTAATGATGGGCAAGCTGGAGCACATGGTCAACCTGGACAAGGTGAAGGATATTCAAGCAGTTATAGAAAATGAATCTAACGCTCGAAATATTCCAGATGCTTCCGATGCTTACTCTGAGGGACAAGCTGCTCCATGCATTCGTGAATGTCCCCCTGGACCTCCAGGGATTCCTGGTGCACCAGGTGAGAAGGGACCCCGAGGATATCCAGGAGAAACTGGAGAACCTGGTACGGCAGGGAAGCCAGGCCAGAAGGGACCTGCTGGGAAACAAGGACCACCAGGGCCACCCGGATATCCAGGAAGAGCTGGTGAAAAGGTATTACAATGTTACTTATAGGAACTCATCGGTCAACATTTTCTAATGAAAGGTCTTCTAGGGTGAGAATGGAAAAACCATTCCTGGAGAAGCTCCACCTGGACCTCCCGGCAGGCCCGGAGAAATGGGACCAACTGGTCCACCCGGCCCTCCAGGAGCGAAAGGACAACCAGGAGAACCAGGACCGCCCGGTCCTCAAGGTGATCAAGGAAATCCAGGTTGGTTATGATTATTATGGGGTAGTAGTTTTGAAAGTAGTAGTAGTTTTTTAATCGTACAATTTCAGGATCATATGGTAAGCCCGGAGCTGTTGGACCTCCTGGTCCTGACGGCAGAGTGGGAGAACGTGGAGGCTGTGAGCACTGCCCTCCACCAAGAACACCTCCTGGATATTAATATCGCTTTCTTCCTACAGCGCTTCTCTGGTGCTAGCCAGTTTGATCGTCTGCTTAGACTGTTTTCGTTCAGTTTGTACCTGAGTCGAATGTACATCTGTTTCTCATAGCATTGACATAGAAGGGTTACTTTACTTGCAGTCATCTAAGTATTTGCTGTTTATTCAATTTCAAGATTGTCAGATGATCAAAGTAATGAATGTGAGCCGTCGCCTGTGCTTGTTCAAAATTGAGTCGCGCTTCACTTTCATGCAGAAGAAGCCTTGTTGATGTACTCCTTGAATTCTGAAAAAAAGATAAAATGTTACTTCAAAAACCTTTCTGTAACGTCTCCTTCTTCATATTCTTTCCAAAAGAGGATCTTGTTGTGCGTTCACGGGCACGAGGCCCCCGTATAGTTTAGCCCCTAGTATAGAAACTAAAAATGTTGAGGAATAACAACAATCCTACTCTATGTAATCCAACGGGTGCTTGTTGGTGTGTGTGGGTGCTTGTCCGACAGGAAAGTCATAACTTCTGTCCCCGTAAGCCTAGAGCATTCAGATCCGGAAGGGATACAGGCGGGAGATGGGAACAATGATGGTGAATCAAAAGAATTCATAGCAATTGGGAGGAATTTATGAAGGGTGACAACCGATTAAACAAGAGGACTCTGTTTTAACGATGTATTTTAGCTTCGACTCTTCGTGGTGGAGTAGGATGGTAAAAAGTGTGTGGTGAGTGCGGTAATAGGGTCCGGTAAGAGGTATTTCTGAGGAGCTTCGAATTTGGTCCATTTCTTGCCATCAGCTTAGAGCCGGTACCTAGCAAGGTTTGTGACTCAATTAAAAACCTCAGTTCCCCTTTGTTTTGATGTCATTTGCGACAAAACTTTCCCTGCCACCGGAAATTTAGGATCTGCAACTGATTATGTACTCGCAGAGTAAAGTTCATTGATGACATCTGATAATGGTGTTCTCATCACTGGACAACATTTTTTGAACACAATTCAAGGTTTTGGTTGCCTGATAGTTAAACTTTGATGAAGGATGATTATTTTCAAGATAAAGGACAAGCGATCGAGACTCTTGATAATAGACATAACCATAGGGCAGATACTGAGTACCACTTGCAGTGCCCTATTCATGCCAAGCTCCCTTTCAAACAATCCATCGCAAATCGTCGATTCAGAACAATTCAGTAGCGAGC